CCCAAAACCCCAAAACCCCAAAACCCCAAAACCCCAAAACCCCTATTATATTTGAAATTGAACTTTTAAATTTAAACGAAATTTAGGAAATGTTGGACATAAGAGTCAAACCAAATCGGATGAGGAACAAAACTGCTTCAAGGAAAGCATTCACTAAATCAAACAATACCTTCAACTCTGGTTGCTCCAAAGTAACTTACCCTGGTAACCCCTATGCTTACTTCTAGTCAGATCTAAACGAACAAGAACGCCTATAGCTTCTAAAGAAAATACCGAGACAGGTAAATTCTAGTCCAAATCTCGCCTCTAAACCTGCTGTTCCATAGACCAGTTCGGGAAGCCAAAAGAGTCCAAAATAGGAATGATCAGTAGAATTTGCCTGTACTCAAGCATGCTGAAACAACTCAGCCTAATTGACATTGATAATGTGACACAGGAGGAAGATGAACAACTGAGAAAGATCGTTAAGGTCATTTTAGATACAAGGAAATAAGAGGCCAGCCCCTCCGAAACAATTTACCAAAATAGACACGAATGTAAGAAAAGCGGAGAAGGATAGGGATTTTGGAGATGATTTGAAATAAACTGTTCTCCTTAAGTTCTTCAGACAACCATGAAGTTTTCAAATCCCTCGCCACAAACCTTGATATGACTAGTTCACCCATGAGGAGGAACAACTCAATGAAGAACATTACTTTCCTACAAATCTGTGCAATCCGGATATCCAAAGCCTCATGGGGATGTATAGGCAAAGCTATTTCGAACAATAACAGTATTAGAACGCTTGCTCTTAATGCCTGTGGAGTTAATAACAATGCATTTGCTCACTTAGTCCCTGCAATGGAGAAGAACAAAAGTATTGAAATTCTCGACCTATCTTGCAACTATATGGGAGATAAAATGAGTACATTCATTTCTAAAATAATCGCTCTCCAAAGCGAGAGAAGAGAGCAAGCAATCTGGCTTGCAGGGCTCAGAGAAGAACTTCCTGAGGAAGAAGAATATAAATCTGGCCTTAAGAGTCTTATCCTTAGGCATAACGATTTTAGCAAAGATGTCTGCTCTGAAATTTCAAGAGTACTTTATTTTGACATTTACATCAGATCAATTGATCTTAGAAATAACTTACTTCAAGAAGAAGAGATCCAGGAAATGAAATATTTCCTCAAATCGAATAAAACCTTGATTAATCTTGATGTACGTCAAAATCCAGGGTTAACTACTAAACTGCACAGGATGGTTGTGCTCAAGCTTCTCAGAAACATCGAGTATACTAAGAAAACTAATATTGAAGACATGAGGTGGATGAACCCAGAAGTGCTAATCTGAGAGGTTCCAAAACATTTAGCTCCAAAAATCCAAAGAAAGATGAATAAATTGTTCGAGCATCCGAGCCAAGCTCATCGTCCAAAGACCACTGTAGTCAGAAGATCAGTGAATTATTACAATAATAACAAAACTAGCGCAATGCAAGTTCCAGATTACTTAAAAGTAGCGAAAACCCCAGGTGTAGATAACCTGAAACAAAGTAATCATTCTTAATCAACTATAGGACTTCCATTAGCAGAGTACCACTACTCCCAGATGCAAAACAGAGAAAGCAGTATGTACGAAAAGGTACTACTCCATCTAAACCTTTAGGTCTCAGAGCCACACATCGCTAAGAGCCAGATCCTATAGTCTAAAATTTCCATAGATTTTCAAAAATTAACGGTGCAATAGGGGTTTTGGGGTTTTGGGGTTTTGGGGTTTTGGGG